ATCTGCCCCTGCTTCATTTAGTTTTGCCTCTGTTTCACTAGTGGGAGGTCTCTCCTCGGAGGTGCTGTGTTGCTTTGCACAAGTACCTAGTCTCAACTCCTTAGTTCCTCTCTATGGTGCTGTATTTCAGATGACCGCTAAGTTTATATGAAGATAGAAGTTGTATTTGGTTTGTGGCAATAACCATTTTCATTTGTTTCTGTTAAGATACCTAAAGTTCGTAAAACATCTTCCAGGGTTTTGAGCAATTGATAAGCCCTTGCGTGAAATTCTGTCCATCAAATTGACAGATGGTGAGCGAAAATAACAAGTTGGTGCGATTTCTTTAGTTTCTTGACTGCAGAGGAAAAAATAAAGATTATAGACCAAACTGATACAAACTTCATATTTCATTGACCAACACCAAATTTAGCTGAATTAAAATCATAAATTCTAGTTAAAAACATTCTTTTCTCAGATAATTAAACACTCTAAATCACATCAAACTTAGTAATTAACTCCACAAATTAGCCATACATTGTTCAAATAAAGATTTAAAGAGCATGCTTTATACGATAATAAAACTGACCATAATTTAACACGAGGGGCAATGTTCCTCCCACACATAAAATGCACAAGGTGAAAGAAAATCTTATTATGTGCAGCTAAGTTGGCCTGATCTCCATTCCTTGAATAATGACACCGTTCTTTTCGTCGTAACTTTTCTGCTGAAGATTTATTTCCAAATCTCCGCCTCTTTCTTTGGTGAATTCAATTTCACCCAATTCTACCTCAAACCAATTATCTCCCCTCTCTTTCGGGTACTGATCACCATTTCCTACAATTCCACCTTCTGCCTGCACGTACACTACTCGCTTTGAAACTTCAGCTCCTCCAAGTAGAACAGCAGCTTCTATAGGTTTATTTTGAAATCCTATAGGTTTGTCTGCCAGCTTGAACACAAGGTAAGCCTTATAACGTGTTTTTGGAGAAAGCATGCGAGTATTAATCCTTCCACGGATTTCAAACGAATCAGTTGAAAGAAGCTCTGCAACCTCAGGGAACCTGTTTGTAAGCATGAATTAGAAATATTCTAATGATCACAAATTTATTTATTTTAGGCTGGGAAAGAGACTTAAACAATTAAGTGTCTATTTGCTTGAATTCTTTTAGATGTAGGTGTGGGTATGAGCGTGTGCGTTGTGTTGTGTGTGTGTGAGAGAGAGAGACCTACCTGGGATCAGGTTTGAACCACCTCCAATAATCAGGATGATCACCCTCCCAAATTACAAGGTGCCTGGCAGGTAGCATGTGACATATCCTCCCACTCCTTTTGTATAAAAAAATTCTCTGTGCGATGAAGGTGATATGATTAAAGACTCAAGTGAAAGAGAAACCGAAGGATCCAAGGATCCATAAACGTAATCATCATTAATTATTTATATTCCCAACAAGAACATAATCCTCTGACAAGCATAGTCCAGGAAAAGAAACACTGAATACCTAGGCCACATCCAATGAGTTTTGTAAAATTTCTATAAGCAATAATCTTTGTAGTTACCTGCTGTATAGACATAAATTCATAACTACTAGCAGAAAGGAAATTTATATCAAGTCACAGCTACCCTAAAAAATGTATAAGTACTTTCTAAAGTTAGTAAAAATGAGTTAAATTATAAACATAAAAAATTATATCAACTTGTATTCAATTTGTCAAGTAACACATTTTGTTTCGATTTAACCAGTTATAAAATATAGAATTCAAAACAGAGAGTAATATGTGGTATATATTAACGAGAATTGTTTGGTTTTTAATTTAAAATTTGGAAATGAAAACATATGCAGATTTTGAATATTTATTAATTTATGATTTAAAAAAATAAAAAAAATATATATTACCATGAAAAGAAAAGAGAAAAAAAGTTAAATTGAAACAATTTACTTCAAATTAATATATATAAATAATTATTTATTTCCTATAAATTAAAAAGAAGAAAAAAACTAGGTCGATTTTTCAAAACAACCGACTGGAAGAGTATAAAAATTGCAAAAATTTAACTGTATACCTCAATTTGACTTTGTTCAGTGAAAAAAATTTAACTTTAACTCAAGCAAGTGCATCCTACACGTGTTTTTTTTTTTTTTTTTTTGGGGAATATTAGAACATTTTACCTTGCTTATCAACTGAATCTGAAGCTTGTCATGTTCATTTATTCCTAGAAAACTTGGGAGTTCTGAAGCAAATATCTGAACTTCATCACATCCGTGCACTCGTAATTGTTTCAATGATGGCCATTCATTAATATGAATTTGAGGGACGAAGCCTTTCAGTTTGGGTAGCTTAGAAAGATTTATGTGTGTCAATTCTGGAAAGAGAAACATTGGGACAATTTCCACCGAATTAGTTGGCTGAGTGGGTATCTGAGCTTGTGGTTGGCTAGCACCAAATATCTCTTCTAGTGAATCACAGTTCTGTATCTCCAGTGTGTCTAGCTTCTGGCGTACTCTTTCCAGCATACTAAATGGGAAAATATTCAACAGCTTTTCACATGAATCCAAGGTAAGAGAATTTAGTTGGGAACAAGAATTCACATCATGTTTGTCATCCCATATCTTGGACCAATTCCCCATAAACTTGATTATCACCCGCTCTAATCTAGGCAATTCCACCTAAAAATTTTATCCAATTGCATTAGTAACTATAATTCAGCTAGAATCAGAGAAAGGGAACACATAAAAAGATTATAAAATAATACATTTTTAGAATCAAATTTAAAATTTTAAAAGGTTTATAAGGTGAAACTGATTTTAAATGAAAAGAAAAAACACAGAAGATATCACCTTTTCATCAAAGAGGGATGGCGTATAAGTATTTTTCACATTTTCAGAACTGACAGCATTGTTTCCTATAAGGGTCTTCAACACAGCACACTTGCTTATGGTGAACCGTCTAAGCATGGAGAATTTAAACTTAGAGTAATTTCCATGACACAATCTCACAAGTTTGGGAAGGTCTTCAAGTTCTAGGGTGTCTAGTTTAGAGAAGAAACTCTCACACATCATTTCTTCTACTACTTCATTTGAGACGATTACCTGTTCCATCATCTTACAGTCACAAATCTTGAGCACCATGAGTTGGTTGAAACTCTTAACCATAGAAGACATCAACAGATATTTCAAATTGTCAACTGAAGACAAGCTTAAAAACTTCAACTTGGGAAACCCAACCTGTAGATAGATTTTAGTTGGAATAATAATTTTTTAGAACAATAAAATTTTTTTATGAGATTAAACTATTTCAAAAATAAAGGGACAAAATGCCAAAGAAGAAATCACCTTCTCATCAAAGAGAAATGGCGTGTCAGTATTTTCTGCATGATAGAATCTTGTGAGTTTGTAAAGATTTATGAGTTCTAGGGTGTGCAGTTCAGGGAAGGAAATTGTTTCTTCCTCTGATTCTTCTGAATCTATTACGGCTTCCATCATTTCACAATCACAAATCTTGAGCCATTCGAGTTGGTTGAAACTTATAACCATAGAGGAAGTCAATAGATATTTCACTTTGCCACAACCCTCCACAAACAACTTTTTTAAATTCTGTATGGGAAGAGAGATTTTTGAATTCTGTGTAGAAGAAAGGATTTTTGGAGTCAAAAGATCCCAGATTTGTTGAATGTTAATTGAAGACAGTCTCAACAACTTCAACTTGGGAAATTCAACCTTCAAAGAGATTCTTAGTTAGAATAAAAATTTTTAGAATCTAATTTAAAAATACAAAATCTATGAGGTGTAACTAACTGAAAAATAAAGGGAAAAACAAAGAAGAAATTACCTTTTCATGAAAGAGAGATGGCGTATAAGTATTTTCTACATTTTCAATACTGGTAACAGGAAGGCGCTCACTTATTGTAGCGTTGGAGTTTCCAGGATAGAATCTTGTGAGTTTGGGAAGGTCTTCAAGTTCTAGTGTGTCCAGCTCAGGAAAGGAAATCTCACACATCCTTTCTTCTACCTTTATTACCTCTTCCATCATCTTGCAGTCAGAAATCTTGAGCACCATGAGTTGTTTAAAACTCTTAACCATAGAGGAGGTCAATAGATACACCAAATTACCACAACCCTCCACAAACAGGTTCTTTAAGTTTTCAAAAGACACGATTTGCTTACTCGAAATGTGCCAAATTTGCTTAATGTTAATTGAAGACAGCCTCAAAAAGTCCAACTTGGGAAACTCGACCTGCAAAGAGATTCTTAGTTTTTAAAGACAAAAAGACATTGCCGAAAGCCTTTTTTGTCAGATTTGATGAATGCCAATTGAAGATAACTTCAACAGCTCCAAGTTGGCAGACTCAGCCCGATGTATTCTCCTTTCATATAAATTTTTGTGCTTTGATTAATTAAACCAACAACAATGTAAGGATAATCTCAAAGCAAATAAATGTGAAATAACATGCAGTTATTGTATGATATATGTAAACAAAAACTGATTCATTAACAATATTTGTTGGTAACAATAGTAATTTTTTTATTTTTTAAATGTTCTTTATCATTTAAAATTTTAGATAATAATAATAACAATGAAAAATTATTTATCTATTAGACTAGTAAAAATTTTGGAAGAAAAAATGCCTAAAACTATGTCATTTTTGTAAACTTTCCTTACAAAATCTTAAAATAAACATATCTTAGGAGTAATTTAATCTTTTCCTATGTGTTTTATTGAAATGATATAGTTAAAATTTTTTTGTGTGTATTTTTTTAAAATACTTTCTATAAACATTAATTTTGTGTGTATTTCCTATGTGTTTTATTGAAATGATTGGGTTCGGTTCTAATTGAATTTAATCGGTTTTATACCTATTATGGAACAAACTAAATCTATTGATCTAATCCTCTGCATTGCCATATCGCAATTAAGTATGTTGGTCTTCTTTGCTGAGCGATGAAAACTACAAGAGACTAAGTTTAAGAGAAGAAATAGCATTATCCCCTTTTAATGAAGAACCAATATGATATAAATTATAAATGATAACGTTGAATGACCATTGATGAACTCATAGAAATAGTATAATGCAACAAATAAATGTAGAAAACTAATTATCAGTGTTCAAATTGGAAAGAAGATAATGACCATTCAACAAACTAAACCAAGTAATGCCACAGAACTAAGTACTACAAACCTAAAAAGAAAATGTATAATTCACAAATAAAATAGGAAAAGTAAAATATTATGTGATTTAATTAAATTATTTTTTTAATTAGTTTGGTTCCATCAAGGTTGATAAAAAACAAAAAAAAGTTGGTTCCATCAACTGAAACTAAAATTGGAAATTGAATTAATTATATTAATTTTGAAATTTTACAAAATCAATCCTCAATTTGTTCGTTTTGGAGTCGAATCAATTGGTTTGAATCTAATATTAAAAACCTTATTTTAGATTAATATTAGATCACTATTTCCTTTTATCTTCAGCTTCTTTTCAAAGAAAGTCAGAATGCAATTTATTAAATTCATTTTGATTAATTAAATAGATTTAACAAATTTGTCAAAATTTCTAGCCAAAATGCAATCTCTCTCATCTGCGAAAGAATAAGGACAGATTTAAAGCCACAATGCAAGTTAAATGAGGAAAACTTACCTGTTCATTAAAGAGTGTTTGTGTGTTTGCTATGAATCCCTCCAATTTTGGGCAGTTCAGCACTTGCAGTTTCTTCAATGATTTGAATTCAATACAATTTCCTAAGTAGAAATTGACAAGGTCTTCAAGGTCTTCCATCTGCAGAATGTTCAACCGAGGGAAAATCATCTTTTCTTCTACATTATTATCTATAAAAATGACCTCTTTCATCCTGCTGCATTTCCTTATTTCCAGATGTTTCAGCATATTTAGACCTCGAACCATAGAAGATGAGAAAATGTATTTCAAATTATCACATCCCTTAATGATCAATTTCATCAGTTTACCAGCACTGAAAGATGCAACCTGCATGACACAATGATATTTTCTTATAATAAATGCTTCTCACTTTGTTGATTGAAAAAGAAAAGGACGGTCATGTTAAAATTTGTAGAGATTAGGCATGTCTAACTAGAATACAAACAAGTAATGCAAAGGAGATGACTTGGATGAGAACAAAAATGAAATAAAAGAAATTAATCAAACACCTGTCCTTGGAAAAGTGTCATTCTCTTGCAAAAGGCGGTCAACTTTGGTAGATCTTCTAATCTCAAGGAGCACAGTTCCTTCAAGATATCTTTTTCGCCCCCTTGCTCGTCCTCATCAACAATCTCTTCCAAGTTGCTGCACTTTGTTACTCTAATTTCTTGGAGTTGGAGAAAATTTCGTTTGGCTATAGAGGAGGAGAACAAATTCTTTAGTTGATTACAAGATTCAACCGTTATCATTCTTAATTTGCTAAAAGATGATTCTTTAACCAAACCATGACATATCTTCTCCATTTGTTCCAAATTATGTAGAACTAACACCTCCAATACAGGAAATGCAGGCTTCATTGAGTTAATGCTATCTTGATCAACATTGTGAGCATCATGCTTCATTGAGTTAATGACATGTTGAACATTCTGAGCATCTTGGATAAAGAGATACTTCAATTCTTGAAAGCCTTCCTCATCTAACTGATGAACAACATTATTGACACCACTCAACCCTTGTAGATGTAGTTCCTCTGTCTTCTTTAGCAACTTCTTAACTGAATGCTCAGAACTAATTTTTGCATCTAGCTTTAGCTTCACTATTTTTGAACTTCCATAAGAACTATCCCAGGAGTGCCACATATCTCCTACGAAAATCTTGTATCTTGCCAAATTTTCAGAGAACAAGTCTCCTTCAATCATTTGGATATTGCAAATATTAATTTGTACCTCTAAAGCAGTTAGGTTCAATAATTGCTCCAACTCAGAAAGTCTAGCAACTTTTTTCTCCTGTTCCTTAACAACCTCCGCCCATTGATCGAAACTGTTTCTCATATATAGTTCTTCTAAACTTAGCAGCCCTGACAAGACATCTGGTGGAATTACTTTGACTTTGGTACAATCACTCAAATCTAACAACTTCAGGTTAGTTAGTTGCCTTATTTCCTTTGGCAGCTCTTCGAGATCACATCCCACAAGGCTGAGGACTTGCAAATATCCCGGCCTTGTTATAATTGCGCCCATGTCTGCATCTCGCAACACACTTTGATCCAGACGCAAGGTAAGAAGGTTATATGGAAGGGAAATTGACTGAGGCATTGAGCAAGTTTTAGTCAAACCCAGGACTTTGAGCCCCTTAGTTCCTGTAAACAAGTCTACTGGAATTGGTTTAGAAGGATCCTCTTTAGACAAATGAAAGAAAGTGAGCTGCGGACAGTTCAGCTGATCTGTTGGAAGCTCACTAGTATCTGATAAATGCAACCATTTGATGCTCTCCGTTTCCTCCCAGTTGTTCAGTCCAACTTCTCCGAAGGCAATTGATTTGGCAAAAATCATGAGAAGATCATGCATATCAAAATGCATATGACCGTCACTATCCAGCAACAAAGAAAAATATCTGAGTTTAGTCATTGAATTCAGTAATGCATCTCGTGCTTCCTCCACAGATTTGACTCCTGGGAATAAATCCAAGCCTATGGTATATTTCAACAAGTCTTGAATAGCTGCATTATGACCCATTATACTACAAAGCAAAAAAGTTTGTTGGAGTTCGGAGCTTTTCAAACAATCATAACTTCGATAGAAAGCTGAATGAAGGCTTGGATGGCTTTGTAGCTTTTGTAGAATAGTCTTCCGCTTTAGTCTGCCACTTTTTAAGGCCATTGCAAGTGTTGCAATAGCAATGGGCAAGCCATAACACTTCTTGCAAATCTCTCTTGCATAAAATGGCAAACGACGACTTTCAGTTCGGTAAGTAGCTATCTTCTCAAACAGCATCCATGCTTCTTTTTCTTCTAATGGTTTAATCTCAAATTGTATTTCAGATAAATCAACAAGAACACGGCTATCTCTAGTAGTAGTCAGCAAAATTTTGTAAGATAATAACCTGTTCTCATTCTCATCTTCCAATGGAAGTTTTTCACGCAACTTCCAACATATTTCTGGCTCCCAAATATCTTCCAAAATCAAGAGGACCCTCTTTTCTGTTAGCTTTCTTTCCTTTCTTCGATTGGAAGCTTCCTGATATGTAAGTTCATTAGAAACACCCAAGTCACGTGCAATTTCATGTTGGATTCTGGGGTTCTGCTTCACGGATGCCATAACAACCGCATCAAATAACTTTTGTTCCTCCGCTATTCTCTTCACTTCTCTGACGAGCATGGTCTTTCCCGTACCAGACTCCCCGTACACACTTATGGTGTTGATGCTACGACATTGAACTGCCTCCAAAATCCCGTCCAAAACATTCTTTGTCCACTCAAAGTACTCGAAACGATTAACTGCCCCATTCTGATTTCCTCGTGAGATGTCCTCAAGTAATCTACGAGCTTCTTGCACGAGTACACCAATATCCTCGCAGTTCCAAGGAGAGTTGAAATCAGGACACAGCTTAAAGGAATACTTGTGCTTCACATGTCGTTCTCCAACATCAGGACCTATTAATTTTTTAACCGAACCATTAACGAAATTCTTTGCTTTTCTCAACCAGTCGTTGAGGTCCTTCATTTTCTGGCTGTCACTGCTTCCATAAGGATTGTTGACATAGCGCTCCACA